AAGTATAACCTTGTTATCTGTATGGAGTGCCACAACATCGTTCCATTGGAGTACATCCACTCTCATCATACTCGAAAACATAAACTCCCCCGCTATATTCCTGAAGGCAGTCGCCTTCCTGACAAGGAATCGTTGATGAACTTGCTGTCCCGACTTGGCGCGCACCATCCAAAGAGTCCGTTTCCTGGACCTATCCCAATCATACAAGGTGTTGAGGTTGTTCATGCATGGCGATGCGAGATTTCAGGCTGTATAGGACCCGGTGTTTTTGGGAGCACAAAGTCGCATGATGCCCATTGCCGCCAAGTACATCCTGGCATCGCGCACCATCACAGAGTGCAAGTTGATGCCCATCCCCTTGGCCTCAATAAAATGAACTGTGCATATGTAGAGGTGCTTGCATCGCCTCAAGTGGACTGCTCGTCATTTCTGACAAGTTTGTTGAGCCGAAACGAGAGGAAAGGATTGAATGACACCACGAAACCATACCAGGTCCGAGATATGCGACATGTAGACCGTGTGCTCAAGGTCACCCAAATGTACAAGTGTATCCAGGATGTCGACCTCAAGCTGTTTCGCGCCACCGCGGAAGCCTTTGATCCTTCTCTGGAAGATGGATATTCTGCGTTGCAAGACCATATGAGGGAGTACTATCTCGAGATTGCAGATCGTCTTCTAGATCTTCAGATCCTCACCCTACGACACATAGCAACCAGTAATCCTGGTCAGGGATTGAAGCCTCATCCATTCAGCCACCCCCAAGAGCGCGACACTATCATAAGATACTCTGATTTTATGACTCGCTTTGTGATTTTTCTTCTGCGACATCATCAGCAGCCATTGCCGGACCTTCAAGTCGAGTTTCATCCCATGCACCGAGAATCGCTGGATGCCCTTGTCGATGTCATTGGAGGCTCGCACTCCAGAAGCCGGTGGATGTCAACCATTCACCGGGTGATTCTCTTCATCCTGACTTGTCGCAGTGATGGGTTCCTAAAGGCGGAGTGGAAGGACCTATTTTCTATCTTTTTGATCGCATATCATCTTCGAGACGATCATGGAAACATGCATGCCACTGCGAGGATTACCCCGAATATATCCAAGGTCCAATGGTGCTTTAGGGCGACCGCCGCTCAAGAAACTCTTTACCGTAGTGTTCACCACAATAACAACGATGTCAAGTGAGCGATCGCATTTATCTGTCGATTCTTCAGCTTATTGTTTGTATAGAGCATATGTCGCTGATGTGCAGCAATATCTAACTGACGGTCCACAAACAACGTTCACTCTTCTACGGCAAAGGATGGCTCTACTGTCCACCCTC